TGCCTTCCTGGCGTCAGTAGCATTGATGCTCAGCATGGAAAACAAGATCAACGGAAAACAAATCCCTATTCTCCAACATCCCAGTAATTTATCGTAGAAGTGCAGAGGTGTTCTCGGCTCTCATTAAAGCGAATATTAAAGTCTGAAACGCGCAAAAATTGATCAACTATTTGATATTTAATGATATTTGATGATTAATACTAGGGTATTTCTGTTAAAAATGCATAAACATCTCTGAAATGCTGCATTTGGAAGTTGAGTGTATATACAATGGCTTCTAAGATGGGTTTTCACCGTTTGCTCTCCAGTTTTCAAAATGACGTCCAAGCAAGAGGAGCAGCGTGTCAACATTTTGTTCGCGCAGCAAGAGAATCCGACGGTCTTACACGCCAAGTTGGCAAAATTACTGGATGTGGCCAAATCGACCGTGAAAAACGTTTTAAAAGTGTTCGGAAGCGGCATGGAAGCGACGGCAATCGTAATTCGGACGAGGCAGCGACGACGAAGAACGTGGCGGTGAAATATAAGCGGAATCCTAACCTCTTCATCCGGGACGTCGCTGGCAAACTCAATGTCTCCCATACTATTGTGCAGCGGGCCAATAAACGAGCCGGGTTGTCAACGTTTAAGAAGGTGAAGGTTGCGAACCGAGATTACAAACAAAACACGTCGGCAAAGCAGCGGTCCCGAAAGCTGTATACGAATCTGCTCACAAAGTTCGACTGTGTCGTCATGGACGATGAAGCTTATGTGAAGGCGGATTTCAAGCAGCTTCCGAGACAGGAGTTTTATACCGCATCAGGAAAAGGGAAGGTGGCTGAAAATTTTAAAACCATCAAACTATCCAAGTTCCCGAAAACATATCTCATCTGACAGGCCATATGCACGTGTGGTCTAAAAAGCGGCATTTTCATTACTACGGGAACCATCAATCAAGAGATCAACGTCCAGGAGTGTCTGGAAAAGGGGCTGCTACCATTCCTAAAGCAATATAATAGACCTGTGCTGTTCTGGCCGGACTTGGCGAGCTGCCACTATGGGCAAAAGGCGATCGAGTGGTACGATGCGAACAACGTGGTTGTGGTACCCAAACAGCCCAGAACTCCGCCCTATCGAACGGTATTGTACCTAGGTCAAACGGGATCTCAAAAAAACTAATAAATCCATGAAAAACGAGCAGCAGATTTAAACTAACTGGCGTTCGGCGGTGAATAAGGTCGATGAGACCACTGTGCAAAATTTAATGAAAGGGGTTAAGCGGAAGGCACGGCAGTTCGGATTTGACAAACCAAAAGAATAAACGAACATTTTTTCCTTTAAATATATGAATTGAACTACCAAAAGAAAAATAAGAAGATTTTTGTGTAATGAATTTTGACTGAAAGAAACAATTTTTTGTCGACCAATTTTTGCGCGTTCCAGTCTTTGCGCTAACATATTCTTACCAATTCCTTTCTTGACCAGCATTTGGATGTGGCTGGCTGCCCGAGCAAAGCTGAACATCAAATTGAAATCAAAATTTGCTGTTATGATGTAACTTATTTTGAATACTCCAGTTGATCTCATTTTGGTTGAATTAACGGTTAACACAGCAAAAATGATGAAGAAAACGGAAAACTAATCCTGCTTTCAATGAAATCAATTTGATTACTGATTTTGCATTCATAATGTTTAACTGAATACGGGCCTAGAGTAAATGGTTACCATTCATGTTTCTCAAGCTGAAATACTTAGGCTCCAATCTCACCGCGGGCAAGTCACGAATGACCTAAAATGTGTTAAACAAATCAGATAAACGATAATCATTAGTTCAACGACAGATGAATTTCAATTAAATTTTAAACAAGACGTAAACAGCAGAACTTCAAGTTAAGTTGCTTTCATTTAAAACGTCTTGACTGCATAATGAAAGCACAATATGATATCAGACTTATGTCGCAACATTTGAAATCAAAATGAGTTTTCATTATGATAGGAACTGCACACTTTAATATCGATTTGCTTTCATTTTGTTAACCGACTTTGCTCGGGTGGTAACCACCAAGCCCGCTAATAGCCTGATAATCGCCCTTTGTGCAATATGAGGTTAATATAGGGCTTCCATACTTTTTATCAGCCGTATATTGTATATTGCAAAAAGGGCGATTAGCGGGCTTGATGGTCACTTGGGTAGTTTAAGACCACGAGGATGATTGCTACTCCCAAGCAACGTCTATTGGTTCTCTGTGTAATTACAGCTGATCGGGCAATAACTGAGTTGCTTCCTCGCGTGGTCAATCATGCTCAGTTGTTCTGTATAGTTTTTTTTTCCAATCTAAGTCTTATAATGAATCAACATTGTATTTTTGTTGTTGTTGTTGTTGGGGACTTCATTACAGATCGAAAGTGCAGTTAGGAGCTGGGGGTTGTAAAGTTGACCCACCCTAACATACATATGCACATGTCAATTGCAGTTCTACCCTTTTTCTTCAGTATGTGCTTCACAATTGAGAAGTATTCCTCAATTGACCTTAGTTCCGGAGTATTGGCCGGATTCATCTCTTTGGGTACCCCTGTGACGCCATTTTCGCTGTACTACTATTTTGGTTGTATTTGAGTAGTGGCAGCTTGCCAAGTCTGACATAGGCAATCCACCTCATGCTGCTCCAGAAAAAGGCAGTAGTCTCTTCCGTAGGCACTACTCCTGGTAAATTTGCATGATCCCAGAAGTATCGATTTCGCTTTTCAGCCCATAACTGCAGATTGCTTGTCAGACAAGTAACATTTTGGAGATTTTGCCTTTTTTTCTGATTACATATCTCCGAAGCACTCTTCCCGTCAACCGAGGTATAAAATTCCTACCCAGGAATTTGACCGAAAACTTCCAGGAGCGGATAGACCAAAAAAGTTTCGACCGTACAGGATCGAAGCATGACATGCTTGTTCCGGTGAAGCCATGAACAATTGACATTATCCTGACAACCAACGCCTACTGTGATTCTATACACTCTTAGCTTGATTCAGTGAAGTTTTGAAAAAAAAAAAAAAATTACTCAAAAAATGCCTTAATAGCAGCGTTTTTAATCTATCCAGATTTTTTCGTGTTCAACCTTTATATCCACTTACTTGGGTACTATTCCTAACTTACAAATGAAATATTTTTCAAACAAATTACTTCAAGGGTGGCCACTCGGCATGATCAGGAGAATCGGAAATTAACTGGGAATCGAAAAGGACCAGGAAAAAAACGGGAAGCAACCGGGAATTTTATTGCAATCTCAAAATATGATTGATCAAATGCTGTTAATTTGTTAACTAGGTAGGTATATGTATGTACACTTTTTATCTCTTGAATATCTTATTGTGGAATGCTTGTTTTGATATTATTTAGCTATCGAGGTTTTCGCGAGCAGGAACGAATATCTCGATAGCTTAAAATGTCAAAAAATAATACAAAAAAAAATCTTCCCACAATACTAGTCCAATAATAAATTATGAAAATGCAATACCTAAACAATGCCACGGAAGTATTCTTTTGGTATCCAAATATCAAATTTTATTATTAACATTATTTGGTATTATTGTTTGGTATTTTACCTCTTATATAAGGCTCATCCATACCAATTTAAGGTATCCAGATATTCGTTCCTGCTCGGGTCCATATTCAGGGTGCCAGTTATCCCGAACAGGATCGAATATCTCGATAACTTAAATTGGTATGGATGCGCCTGACATAAGAGGTAAAATACCAAAAAATAATACCAAAATATTTTTTTCCAACAATACCATTCCAATACAAAATTATGATAATGCAATACCAAAACAATATCACACAGGTATTCTTTCGGTATCCAAATACACATTTTTGTTATTTACAAGTATTTTGTATGTAATTGTTTGGTATTATTCTTTGCTATTTTATCTCTTATGTAATGCTGGTCAATACCAAATTTTGGTATCAAATCGGAATTAGGTATTCATTAAAAATTTTCTCCTGCTCGGGATGCTACTATCATACCTGAATTTGGTATTCATAAGTTATTTTCTCGTACTCGGGATGAGTCACGCAGTTACTCTATATGCCCAGGGATGCCACGAGCAGTGTCAATCCGAATGATGTTCTAGACCGATCAAGCTATCGAACCCACCGTCGTCTGCTTGGTAATACCGTGCCTTAGCTGATAAGACTATTTGAGCCTCATAACAAATTGACTATGATGCATCCCAATTGAATGCCTCAAATGTACTTCATTAAATTGAGCTATGAGATATTACATCTGAATGGTCATCGTTGCTTTGATTAAGGTGGGCTTGTATACCAGTGCAGTGAGTTCTTAATCACGGCGGTAATTTTTTAATATAATCAATCAATTCACAATATTCTTCAAGGCTGATAACATCTGAGCATTTTTAATGGTCTTCTTTCAATAACTTTGATTCATGTTGCCACGACAAACCACCTGGTAAAATTGCACTGAAATATAGTATTGATCGCTCATGGTATATCTTCCACATCACATCACATTTTATCACTAAAAAAAATCATAAATTCAACTTCACTCTTGTGATATGAATTTAATTATCAACAAAATACAGCATTGAATTTACTACATTATCCGGTTTTGAACTTGATAGGTATGCAAGTGCAATACATTTTCGGTGAAAGAAATTCACATTCCAGGAACATACACGTGCTTCGGACCACGCATGCTGAAATATTCTGCCTCTCTTTCCTGCGTGCCTAAGTTACAGAACAGAGCTAAGTAGCTCCGAATACAACAACGGCAATCGGTCGTCTACAGTCAATCGGCTGCTTGCAGAGAATAGTAGATCGCCCTGCGATTTTTCTGTTGTTATTCGCTCTCGCTCTCGTCCTACCAATAATGCTTATTTTTTTCGTCGAACGAAGCAAGTGAAGTGAGTGGTGGGTGGGTAAATGGTAGTTTTTGACTCGCGATCTCGGGGCCCGTTTCCCAAGGTTTGCACCTACAATGGTTCCTCGTATAAAAGCCACTTGTCAGTCCCGGCCAAAATCAGTTCTTTCTTTGCAGTGAATCTATCAGTGTCTTGATCCGCATCCCGGGATCAGGATCTGTAACTATCCGCGAGCGTGCGTGTGTAATTTTCGAGTAAAGGCTTTCTGAATAGAAGCAGTTTACCACACAAGGAAACCTCAAGGAATTTCCCCTCAAACATATAGGAAACAGCAGCAATAACCATGTTTAGATTTGTGAGTGTCTTTTGTGAATGATTAATTATGTGTGCTTAAATGTGAATTTGTGATTAATGGACAGATATCTATAGTGATTAGCATGAAGACATTGGTGACATTTAAACTAATTACTACATTTTGTTTGTGTTTTGAAGATCCTGGTATCAACGTTACTTGTAGCCGCGAGCGCTCAGTACAATGGATATAACCGTGATCCTAAGACCGTTGCTATCGTGAGTGAGCAGCGCTACCTGTCCGGAGATGGTCAGTTCGGTGCTGCTTACGATCAAGAAGACGGAACCAATTTCAAGGAGGAAACGGATGCCGATGGCAACCGCCGTGGATCCTATAGCTACGTTGATCCAAATGGACAAAGAAAGACCGTCTCCTACGTTGCTGGCAAGAATGGGTAAGTTTAGGAGTCATTGGATTGAATGGAGAAAAGCATGTTTTTAATATGTGTTCAAATTATAGATTCCAAGCTTCGGGAGATCATTTGCCTGTAGCCCCACAAGCGCCACAAGCGCCAGCTCCTGCTGCTCCTCAGCAACCGTACCAACCACAGGCACAGTATAAGCCACAGGCACAGTACCAACCACAGCCACAGTCGCAGCCACAGTATCAGGCAAATTTTGATCACCAGGGCCGCAGCTTCGATACCCAAGGCTACGAGGATGGACAGTACGATCCACGTTGGAACGACCCATCTTTCAGCCAGCAGAACTCTCGCCCTGCTCCAGCTCCCGTTGTAACTCCTGCTCCAGCCCCAGTCCATAACTACCACCATCAGCCAGCTCAAGCTCCAGTTGCTCACAACTACAACCATGTTCCAGCTGCCCCACAGCCACAGCCACAGCACCAGGATTGGACCACCCCAGCTCCTCACCGATTCCAGCCCCCAGGCAAGCTGCAGCTGAACAGAACTCCTGATGGTTTTAGCTACACTTTCAACAAGGTCTAAGTCATCCATCCTGAGAGCAAGTCAAAGTGAGTGTGATCGAGTATGCGAGAGGATGTGTGAAACTACAGAATATCTAAAGAATCCCTTCTCCTTACTACTTGAGATGATCAAAAAATCCCCACTCCCATTCAGACCAGCACATGTTCTGTACACTGTTTGTTTATGTAGTCGAGTAAGAGTTACTGCCTGTTGTGATATAAATACGTAGGAGAGACGTAATGGATAAATAACATCTACACTACTTTAGTTAGATCTTATTTAATAAGCCTTCTATAAAAAAAACATTCCTCAATTTTCCCCTAAAGCAATTCAATCAATCGGAACAATGCAATTGTAATGAATCTGAAAACAAATGAAAAAAAAAAAAACAAAACAAAATCTCTACCTTTCCATCTATTATTGACGCACGAGAAACCATGCAACCGAACGGGGCACCCTTCACCAATTAGCACTCAAACAATTGTATTAATTTGAGCAAACCATGCGATATGGTGGCACACAATTCCAATAGTTTTCTCAATCCATTGATTTCAAACTGACTTTCGCCATCCATCAGATCATCCATGCTTAACGAAAATAAGTTTCTAAATCACCTAAAAAAAACTCCACTGCACGATTTCCTGAAACCAAAATGGGCTTACAAAACGGCTTTCAATTTCATTAGTTCAACATCACTCGTTTCGCGGCCCTCTGGTTCTGCGCATGAATGATCGTTCTGAAAAAAACGCCTTCCCCTCAATTGCAAAGTCCGCCTTCTACCGAGCCCACGCCGGGGGGTTAGGCGCGCGGGCAACAAGGAAATGTCTTGCACAAATGAACAAACGATTCCAATGCTATAATAAGCGAGAAAACTCGTTTTTCCTCCTTTCAGCTTCTCGCGCCCAGATACACCAATGAAATTATATATTCACTCTCGCTTTGATCGCTGGTGCAATCATGGTTTTGTAAAGCAACAAAAAAGGTCTAGTTAAACAAGAGCTCAGAGTGCAAGAATTCCGCGGACGAAGCTTAAACCCAGTTTTACCTACCGCTTGCAATGCTGCACTGTTGCGAGAGGAGATGTAGATCGCGTACGCTGAGTGTCACAGCAATGAACAGCGATTAACCTTCAGGCGCAGGTTGGACGAAATATGTGTGTACAGAAATAAATGATGGTGGACTTGTTTTCGATTAGTAACTGCGTGCTCACATCCGCATGTCACCACGGACGCAACGAACTCGTTCCGCATGTGCATTCTCGTACAAATCCGAACCGAACTCTCACAGTTTAAATTAATTGCAGTTGAAACTTTCCTGGCAATATAATCGTGGCTAAAAATAGGTAGATTTGTTTGCCTACAAACATTACATACATTTGGTAGATTTATTTAGGTAACATTTAGTTTCCAAAAAAGTTCAGGTGTATAAACAATGTTAAACGATTTTCAGAAAAAAAAAAATAATAAAAGCAATCAATAGTTATTTTTTATATGAACTTGAACTTGACCATACATCATGTAATATCCAGATTTACTTCAGCTAGGAAGCTTTTCCAAGGTTACATTTTTAAAACACATTTAAACAACTTCTTTTACAACCACGGTGAAACCTTGTGCGGTTCGAGTTTGTGCGGCTAAGTGGCGTCATCCATTGTTCAGCCGTGTTGTGTGAGTCACGGCTTGAAAGTTTGATTGCTGATGGATTTTTTAGTAAAAGAAAACTACCATACTGGTCTACTGAGTGCTGTGCAGGGTTGTTAATCGATAACCGTCGATAACGTCCGCAATGGTGAATTTGCATTACAGGCGTTAACACATACGTTATTGACGGCTATCGATTTACAACCCTGGTGCTGTGTGTTGTCCGTAGACTAACGTTTGAATAAAGTTACCACAATAGATCAATAAAGGGGCAATACAAATAAATTTGTTTCATTTAATGTTTAAACAAACACCCTGCCACCTAGCGTTAAATCTTGAAAGGTGATGAATTTTTTATAATGTCTATGACCAATCTATTCGATCACTCGGTAATGGGGTGTTTACACTTATGCTATTTCACTAGCGCTAGAAAATCTAGCTGCTAGAAAAAAAGCTCACTAGCATAATGTAAACAGGGAATCAGCGTCTACCAGCATGAGATTTCAGGAGCAACTGAAATTCGTGCTAGTAGGCTAGAACACTAGCGCTAGCAAATCCGCACAGATGTAAACACCCCATAAAGGCGCAGCAATAAAGCAAGACCATGCTGGAGGTGGTTGTGTTTCATTCCCGGTCTGGTCTAGGAATTTTTAGGGTTGGAAAGTTTCTTGAGTTCCTTGGGCATACACACCAAATTTTGCTGATTTTAGACTTGATGAAATATCAGCCAACTTTCCAGCAGTGATCTTGACACCAACACTCAAACCTTACAGCTAAAGATTACCATATGGAAAAAAAAGTTTCAGCAGAAGCAATAAAAATTAAATTGGATTTATAACTGATTTTCACCAAAGCGCACTAAAACTGCTTGAATACAATATTTATTACTGTTAAAGAGGCTATGAGAACCTTTTGTAGAGTATGGGACTTTTTTACAAAAGGTTTTAAGACAGCTTTATTGTGATTATAAAACATGCTTTATAAACCTTATCAAGAGTGGTCAACTAAGCTGGAAGACGATCTTATAGCGGTTATCAAAAGGTTGTGCTGGAGCTATTAATTTTATTGACGGTTTTATAAAATTGATCTCAGAGTGCAATAAAACAATACATGCTACTTGGGAAGACGACTTCTTCGGACAGCAGAGGACAACAAGGCCTTAGTCTAATTGGTAAGGTAAGTAAGTTTCATTTACATTGCTTCAACATTGGTTGTAATTGTCATATATTTGAAAAAAAAAAAATTGATTTGTGGTTGTCATGATAATTATTAACAAGCCTGTTATTGTTGTGATGAAATTGGTACTGTTGTTTTGCACATTTTTATCTGTTAATTTACCCTATTTTTATTTTGACGTAGGATTACGTCCTTTGGCAACATATTGAGAGTGCTATTTCAAAAAACCAAAATTGACCGCATTACGAAAAGTGGTCAGGTTTTGTCCACATATAAATCTGTCAATAGCGGATTGATTTTAATTCTAAACCAACCAATCGATTGGCTTTTACTTCGAATCTGAACAAGCTCTTCGTGAGTCGCTGTGGGCTATCTATCCCATTTGGTGGTGTGATTGTAACTAATTTCGATTAACTTGATTCGCAGTAAAATAAAATTCCTCCAAAAAAAAAAAAAAAACAAAGCGTAAACAATAGCGTCAAGAGAAAACTCTGTAGTGATTATTAGATAATCGGGTAAAGGTGTTGAGTAGGGCTACAAAATGGTGAGTGACAATCTGGAAGGAGCGATATACCTAGCTCCGGTCCTCACAAGTTCCTACCCTCACGCCTCCACGAGTCATATTATCACAAAAGACTGCTAAAGGGTGATACGGTCAAAATTTGGTCAATATCAACTTGACGTATTTCTTTCAATTTTGCATTTAAAAAACCTGAACACCCCTCATTTTGAAGGTGTGTGTGTGTAGAATGTTGCTCCTATTTTGATTTTGGAATTCACTCTTCAGTTGTCAAAATGCCGTCCAAGCAAGAAGAGCAGCGTATCAAAATTTTGCTCGCGCATCGCGAAAATCCGAGCTACTCGCACGCAAAGTTGGCAAAATCGCTAAAAGTTGCCAAATCAACCGTTACAAATGTAATTAAAGTGTTTGGGGAACGTTTGTCGACAGCCAGGAAGTCTGGATCGGGGGGAAATCGAAAACCGGAAGCCGCTGAGACGACAAAGAGAGTTGCCGGTAGTTTCAAGCGAAACCCTAACCTCTCTCTCCGAGATGCCGCAAATAAGCTGGGTGTATCGTCTACAACCGTGCATCGAGCCAAAAAACGAGCCGGACTATCGACTTACAAGAAGGTAGTGACTCCAAATCGCGATGATAAACAAAATACGACGGCCAAAGCGCGATCCCGAAGGCTGTACACGACGATGCTGACGAAGTTTGACTGCGTGGTAATGGACGACGAAACCTACGTCAAAGCCGACTACAAGCAGCTTCCGGGACAGGAGTTTTATACGGCAAAAGGAAGGGGAAAGGTAGCAGATGTTTTCAAGCACATGAAACTGTCAAAGTTCGCAAAGAAATATCTGGTTTGGCAAGCCATCTGTACCTGTGGCTTGAAAAGCAGCATTTTCATAGCTTCCGGGACTGTCAACCAAGAAATTTACGTGAAAGAGTGTTTGAATAAACGTCTGCTGCCTTTCTTGAAGAAACACGGTAGTTCCGTACTGTTTTGGCCGGATTTGGCATCTTGCCATTACGGTAAAAAGGCCATGGAGTGGTACGCCGCCAACAACGTGCAGGTGGTTCCCAAGGACAAGAACCCTCCCAACACGCCAGAGCTCCGCCCAATTGAGAAATACTGGGCTATTGTCAAGCGGAACCTAAAGAAGACCAAAAAAACTGCTAAGGGCGAGCAGCAGTTCAAGGCAAACTGGCTTTCTGCGGCGAAGAAGGTGGACAAGGTGGCTGTACAAAATCTGATGGCAGGGGTCAAGCGTAAGGCCCGGCAATTCGGATTTGGAAAAGCGGAAGCCTAACTGAATATTTTTCCTGAATTTTATACTTATTGAACTTGAAAAAGAAATTTAATTTGATTTTTTAAATAAACGATTTCACCGATTTACACGCGTTTTCCCTTGACCAAATTTTGACCGTATCACCCTTTAGCTGAAACATGGACACAGCTGGTTGGCGTAGCCTGGGCAATGTTGTCAATCCAACAATAGCAGAGTGAGGAGGTGTGACGCAAACACTGGCGCGGTAACCATAGCACGGTGATAGAGGAAATGCTTCGCCAACCCGAGCGTCTGTTCACCATGGAGGTGCGGCTCAAACAGCGTCTGACTGGCATCCAGCGGCTGAATAAGAAATGCTCTTCCCCGGAAGCTACACCTAAGATGGCAGCCCCATCACGGCGGATAGGAGACCTTAGGCCAACCACCTACTGTCTCTGAAACCTTTACAATTGTTACAGAAACCAACAGAGAAAGACATCGAACTGATATAACGGCAACGACTTTAAGCGCAAAACAACGGACACGAATTGGATCATGGAATGTATTGACGTTAGCCCAGCAGGGTAAACTGGCACAACTCGCCAACGAGGCGCGACGCATGAAGCTATAAATCCTGGGACTGAGACGTTTGTTGGCCAAACTTTGGAGAACACAAACTGCCGTCGGGACAGGTACTACTATACTCTGGTATTCGAGGTGAAAACGCTCCCCGCCATCGTGGAGTTGGTCTCCTACTTAGCGTCCAGGCAAGTGCTGTGCTCATCAAGTGGGAGCCTGTTAATGAGAGGA